ATTTCGATTACCCGTCTGTACTTAAGAGTCGATGGGGAGACAGATTTCTGGGGAGCAAGTTTTGGCATTTGTAAAAGGCAGGCACCACAGCTGAACTCCAGGGCAAACCTTTTGTGGAAAACAGTGGCTGCGAGTCAAACACAGCACAGACGGGCATTCATTACGTGTCTATAGGCTGTTCAGCAAGTGATCCTCACAGTCTCAGTCATTATTTCCCTTCCAGCTTGTCTCCCCTAAGATCTGGTGAGACAGTTGTGTTTCTGCCACGCTTTCATGCAGTGAATACAAATCTGTAGACTTTATTCTTTACTTTCAGGTAGGCTTTTAAAAAAGGCCAAATCCCAGGACGTAACAATCTCTTTTTCTCACTATCCCAAAGATAACCTTCAAAAAAGCACAAAATCTTTTTTACAATTCCAGTGAGAAACACACCTTTTCACTTAGAAAGCACAAAGACAATTACATTTTGGAAGTATTCTCTGGACACAGATCTCCCTTTATCCTTCACGTGCAAAACCAGACTGAGCGGATGCTGCATCCTTGGCAGAGCATGGAACAGGCTGCCCAGAGAGGTTGTGGAGTCTCCTTCTCTGGAGACATTCAAAACCTGCCCAGATACAACCCTGTGCAACCTGCTCGAGGTGGACCTGCTTTAGCAGAGGGATTGGACTAGATGATCTCTAGAGGTCCCTTCCAACCCCTACCATTCTGTAGTTCTGTGATTTTGAATTTATAAGATTGAAACAAAAGACAGAGAAGAGAATTTGAAGATACTCTTCCAGTATGGTGTCATTTCTCCTCTTCATTCACATTCCTCTAATTTCAAACAACATAACTAGTAGTTTCAATAGGAACTCTAATTGCAGCATCCTCACAGTCCCATGTTAGCAAAGAGCTGCAGTCTAGTTTTATTTTTCTTACACCCACAGAGAATTCTGTTTTGTTTCAACCTCTTATTACTCTCTCTCACTTACTTGGCTCCAAACATCAAATTCTGTCTCAGCCATTCAACATGTATTCTGTTGGGCTGCTTTTTTCTCTTACCAATACGTATACATACTGAACAGCTGGAACCAAGAAAAGGCACAATTAATGATTCTGAATTTTTCCAAAGAAAACGTTTTTGCTTTTTCCCCAATTTGAAATTACTTTTTGGTTTAAAGAAAAGGAAAAAAAAAGTGCCTCCCATAAAACATTATATACACCTCAAAAACTAAATGGAACATTTTAGGTTAAACAAAGCTCTAACATTTGAGAGAGAAGGTTGTTCTAAGCTTGCTTGCTTTTATTTCTTAAATCACATAAAAAGCCTCAACAAAGCCCCTGTTGCATCTTGGTATGAAACCAATTTCTTTTATTATCACATGGGAACCAGAATAGCAGGGAACCTCTAGCCCTCAAATACCAGCCTCAGTGAAAATCTGTACTTGCTGCTTTAGCCTACAGCTGCAGATAAGCAAGAATGAAAGAACCACCCAGGAGAAGCAAGAGGCTAAAGCACAATACCTGCCATGTACTCACAAACTAACAACGGGTTTTAGGGCAGATCAGGGTACATGGGGCAAGGCAAAAGAGCAGGGATTGCTAAGTACAAGCCTGACCACGCGGAGAAGAGTCAGGCACAAGGGAGCACTAGTAGAAGGACGGAGGCCATGCTGGAGGTTGTTGAGTCAGGATCTGAGCGTGGGTTTTGCTGAATATCGATGGTTTAGGATCTGACCACGGTTTTAACAGTCAGTTCCACAAAAAGAGATCTGAATTACCTTCAGGTTAACCCTGGAAAAATCCCTGAGTCAAAAATCCAAACCAGTATCTGCTTTGTGGAAAACCGAATACCCCACCCAGTGCTCCTTTGAAGAGAACAAGCTCTAGCATAAAATAGAGGACATCATGGTTCGGGGCATATGGGTTTTCAGCGTTAGTGTGACAGGGTTAGTGTGAGGGTTACAACCACAGTGCCAGTACCAGCCCCGGGTCCGCACAGCAAAGCGAAGGACTAACACATCTGACGGGGAGAGGTTCAATACTGACAGCATAGAGAGCCTTTAGAGAAATCCTGCTTTTGTTGCATTGTTGCATGCTAGTTTTGCTGGCTAAGCTGCTAATTTAGCACTCTGCCTGTCCAACCACGCACACGGGAATGGAGCTGCACGGCTTCCTCTCTCTCTGCTCACCTCTCTTCACAAGAGTATGCAGTGATGCTCAGCAAGACCAGGACACAGCCCAGAGCACCAGCATGGACACGTTAACGGGACAGTCACAGGCAACTGCCCTCCACAGAGCATTTGCAAGGTCCCAGCTAGACTGAAAACATGGTGTGTCTCTACAAAGCACGCTTAACGACTTAGGCAATGAGTGCATGTAAAAATTCTGCTTATTACTGACAGGAGTACCTTAAGTACACATGCACGCAACTTGCCATACTTGAATTTTACAGCAGTACACAGAATATAAGACCTGGCGTTTTTGTATATGCCTGATATTTCCTAAATCATCTTTTGGTTCTTGAATATGCCCTTGTAATAGTCACCTGACTGAAATATATGGTCAGTACTAATCATGAGATGAAGTAGCTAGAATCCATTTTTCCCCCCTTAAAAGCCATTTGTTAAATCCTCAAGATCATTTAAACACACTCACACTTTTACAATTCTGCATCAAAGACCAAAACTACAATGAAAGCAGAAACTATAAACTGACAGAAAGATACATGCACTTGACATTCAGAAATGTATTTAAAACTGAAGAGTGCAATCTCCTTATTTTCCATATAGGATCTGGCAAGTTTGACCATCCGCGTCACGCAGCAAGTAGCAAAATCAGATAATCTGCATCAGTCTGGATTTAACTCAATAATATCAACATATCGTTCTTACCACCTTTGCAAAAACAATCTGTTTCCACCAAGCACATCTCACAATAATAAGCTTTCCAATTTTCCACAGAAAAATGCTTCTCAGGGAAGCAGGAAGGGAAGGAATGAAGAAATACATTACAGTTGGAAATGTATTATCTCAGCCTTCCTCACCAAGAAAAAAAAAAATCCCTTTGGTGTAAGCAAGTGGGCTTCATGAATAGTGAAGGGGCCTTTCTACATCTACACACAAGCAAGAAGTCCTTCATCCTGACTGGGTCAATAAATGTGAATTGCACATATTATATAACAAAACACAGCTTTGCCTTAAGTTTCTTCTTGATAAGATACAGAAATGACTTAATATCTGGACTTGGTTTTGGAAGAATGTCTAGCTGTATCCAAATATCTAGTTTTTCCTACATTAAAAGAAGGAACTGAATGAGATTAGATGCATAAAATCTTGGCTTCCTGTTCACACTGGAGAACTGCTGCGAGATATTAACATGGATTTGTCAACTTATGAAATGGACGAGATGACATTAACTCTTTCATATATGCAGGTTGTCCTCTCAACTGTTTGATGGGTCCTTGAGTTCAACAGATTTAACAAAAACAAAGAAAAGGAATGACAAAGCACTAGACAGCCTGACCAAACATCCTCTGCCTCTCAGTTACAACCTGACAAATTCTGTAGCTCAGATTACAGTCCGAGTTTTACGTCATTATCGCAGTATTTCTCTAGGTAAGTCTTCACAAAAAGAAGAGACATTAGACCAGTTATTTCTAATGCAACAGGCAAACAGAATTAAAATAGAGGTACAATCCTTTGAGCTGTCACTATACATCCTGAACCAGGAGATGGATGAACATTTCTTTTTGTTTTGCAATTAATTTTAAATCATGTGATGGGCTCTGACCTCTTAAAGCTCCTTCCCCTCCTACTGGTAGATCCCCAAACTCCACAGGCTGAAGAAATAACATATTTTGCTGTATTTTTATATGCATTACAGTGTGAGTCACAGTTAAACCATGCTCAGAAGGAAGTACTCCTTGTAGGTGGTGTGGAAACAGCTAATTTGGTGAAAAGCTGTTACACTAAATCTATCAACCAACAACTCTGTTAGTGTACTATTGTCAGAATTCCTGACATGCTTTGGTGGCATGTAACGTCTGTTAAGGTATCACCTACTTTTTGAACTGATTATTAAACTTTAATTCTTTTTAGAACCCTTAAATCAACATTCAGAAAACTTATTCTCAAGCCTTTCCGTGACACCAGTGTGCAAATCTTCACAGGGGCTGCACAACTAAGACTATCCAGCTGACCTAGGAGGTAACAGGGCATTACTATAACCATTATTTAAAGTACTCCCCAAGCCTGGCAGTGGCCTCTGCAGAAGTTAGCATGGAATACACGTCAGACAGCGATACCAAGTTGCTCAAGCCACCGTGGCTTTAGCCTCCTGCTGAAAGAGTCTACAGATCCATAACAGAATATTTGAGGTTGCTAAAGACTGCTTGAAAGCCCTGGAATAAACCATCTCATTTCACGCATGGTTCAGCCACCACTAAAAGCATTCAGTTGTGCTTACTTCTTATAGAGGAAACCAAAGACACACAGCACCCCAAAAAAATGTCCTTCCTTTGTTCCCTGAGTCAAAATGCCAAATGTTTCATTTAAATCTGGCTGGATCCCTGTCCCGAGAAGAAGGGGACAACCACTCCGTCTACACTGTGGAAACAAAGCTGTGCAGTGGTTTGGGATCCAAAAGCATCGAGTCTTCCATTATGAAAAAAAGGAAACGAACCCTCCAAGGAGGGGTGACTTCTGACCCAAAACTTCCCAGAGTGGTCCCAAAGCACTCATCAGTAGAAACATGGGGAGAAAATGCTAGTTCAGAAAAGCTGCCATTTAACAGCACAACACAACATCATAGAAAACACTCATCATAAAGCACAATACTACATCATTTCAGTCATTTCTTAAAACGTTTAAGCTCCAATACCACACAAAGTCCAAGAAGCATTTGCAATAACGTTCCATACTTCCCAGGAGGAAGAGGAGGAGATCATAACAAAGAGTTACTAAGCCTTTGGATCAACCTCTTTATGGTTACCCGGCATATCGCGCGCTTGCGCTTACCTGACCAAGGGAAGGAAGTGTTGCATACGCCATGGGCTGGTTCATCATGCCTTTCTGCTTCATGATGAGCATGCGTTTCTGCTCCTCGCTCAGGTGGGCCATCTGAGCTTGCATCTGCGGCTGCTGGGACTGCTGCTGCTGGATGTAGGGCATCATGGGGTTCTTGCCGGGATTGGCCATTGGTGGGGTCATCCTCTGACTCAGCTCAGCGTTGAAGTGCGTCAGAGGTTTGGTGTTGCCGTAAGAAAGCATATTGGGCTGTTTGCTTAAGGAGTTTGTGCCCAGGTTATTTGGCTGCTGACTGATCATATTCATGTGATTTTGAGGGAGGTAGTTATTAATTGTGGTCTTCTGTGGATTGTTTGCCATAGCAGGCACTATTGGGTTTTGGTTGTTAAAGGCTTGGGGATACATCATTGGACTATTTGGTTTCTCTGCACTGAAGGGTCCTCCGTAGGGACTAGAGGGAGGGCCCACAGGTGACCAGTTTGAGGCCTGATTTGGATGCTGCTGCTGCTGCTTCTGCTGCATGAGCTTAGCTCTTTGCTGCTGCTGGGCTGCCATTTGCTTGAGCTGCTCAGCCGGAGACAGGTCAGCGCTGGGCATATTGACAGGCCCAGGCCCTGATCCAGCCACCGTTGCCGCTGCTGGATTCATGAGATAGCCATTTCCAGACCGTGTCTGCGTCTGGCCTGGAGTGTGGGCCTGGCTGGGGGTTTGAGGTGACTGAACGACACAGTTTGCTGGTGAGCCGGCAGGGATGGGGGCTGGTGGGGCGCTGGACACGGAAGCTATGCTAGAGGCCGTGGAGACGTTTGAAAACGGAGGACCGGAAGAAGAAGGTCTCACCTGGGGAGACCCTAACGGGACATGAGCAAATGGAGAATGAGATGGATCGCTTTTCACGCTCGCACTCTCTTGAGTCTCTGTGGCAGGCCTGGGAAATTCCGGCTCCTTCTTCTCTTCAAAATCCTCATTGAACAAGTCTTGTATATCATCTTCTGGAACGGTGTTGGCTAGTTCGTCTATTAGCTCCTGCCACTCCTGATCGTTCAGGTTAATATCTGAAAAGAGCTTGTTCTGGTTTGAAAGAGATGTTTCAGAAGTGTCTATGCAGCTGGGGTCATCCAAAGGCTCTTGCTTTAGCTCCTTGTTCTGCAGGATGTTAAAACTATTGTCTAGCTCATTGCAACCATTAACGGGGAGCTTTATCTCAGAAAGCCCCCCGTTTTTACCCAAGTCTTCTAGACCACTACTGTGAGTTCCACTGTTCTGCAGGGGCAGGGGAGCTTTCATGTCAAGCTGGTGAAGAGGAGAAACAGCGGGCAAAGGCAAATTATTGGGCAAGCTGTTGATGGCCTCGATGCCTGGTACGTCCTTCCGTATCCGCTTGCTGGTCGGAGAGAAGCTCCCATCACAAACTCCATTCTGCTGTTCTCCATTGAGGGGTGAGCGTGCGCCTTCCAACTTCCTTTTGACTGTCTCTTGAAGCTTAAAGAAAAACAAGAGAAAAAAAATAATTAACCAGTTGCAGAGACAAAAAAAGCACTGATTGTGTGACAGATGCTCCTCATCAAGCTTAGTATTGACCATAAGTTTTAAAAAATTTGATTAGGAAGTTTCTTTGATTTCATTCTTATGCCTTGATAAATTGAGAAGGTGGTCTAAAACAGCAACAAAACAACCCAACCCAAAAAACCCCAAAACAAACCTGCCCCCGAATAGGAGAGCACTAATTCAACTATTTGCTGCCTAACACAGTGAGGAGTCTTAAATTGGACCAAAAATTTACTAAATCACTAAAATTTACTTTGAAAATATTTTTGCTGGAAATTTCCTGAAGCTTCTTTAAAAATACCTGTGGTTCAACTGTTTGACTACTTATATTGAAACATGTGTTGTTGACACTAAAACTTTTTGAGAAAATTCATTAACATAGTTTCATTTGATTAGCCCTCTGTTCTTGGCTACAAAACATAACGATAATCAATTTTAAGAGTGAGGGTAATAATATATCCACTCTAAAAAAAAATAGAAGGCACTTTGCATGATATTAATAAAGTAACAAAAAAAGGGAAAGAATCTATGTGCTAGGAGCTAACGTAAAAGATAAATAACTAACAAATGATAGCAAGACAAGTCTCCAGGAAAGCAATTAAATAAGAATGTAAGAATGTTATAAAAAAATAGTGTATTAATATAGGCTTTAATTAAGGTTAAAAGAAGCATAGCAATGCACTGTGACAACCTACAGTCCTTTCCTATCACACCAAACGTTAAGTCCTCCGCTTATGTACCAGGCTAAAAAAAGCATCCCTCTTTGGCTAAGGCAAAAAACAATAGTGGGGAGGGGAGGAAGCAAAGAGGTCACAGCTCTAGCGAACGCCTTCAGGACATACTTGCATCCTTGATAGTAGAACAATAGAAGACAAAATACTGAAAGATTTTATCAATTTTTGAAGTATTTTTACTGGTATGAAAATCCCAGACACTCGGCTCCCACCCCTTCCCTAACCTAGAGGTCCTCAACCTTCTTTCTTCCCACAATCCAGACCCCATTTATTTCTCCCATCCCAGAGGGCTAGTTCCACTTTCCTCCCGCGTGTAAGACCAGCAAGCAAATCCATGTCTCAGCCTCGTTTCAGAGGGAGTGGGTCTGTCTGAGAAGGCTGTGTCCTTCTCTTGCCCTCCAGCCCTGTGTGGCCTCTCCGGTGGACAACGCAGAAGGACATGGCCAATGCACACGTTGCTGGGGACACTAAGCTACACGCTGGTCCCTCTGCAGAGATATGAACTTTATAACAAAACAAAAGGCAAGTCTGAGTCCTTAAGCAGACCATCAAACTCCTTGAGTCGTACTGGAGCAGAAGAGCTTTTTTTTTTTTTCATGTGGGAAAATGACTAACACGTGACTAAGAGTCACCAGTGGGTCCCTGTTGGATCATGTGTCCAAGACTTTGCTGCCTGTTCCCCCTGCACAAAGCCAGGGCATGCCAAGCCTCCCACAGGCTGAAATTCCTTCTCCTCTTGGCTTCTATAGCACCACACAGAAGTTGTGCGACCACAGCCACTGCCACGCTGCTGGGCTGGGCTCCTCCTCTGCTGCAAGATGCCTGTGGATCTCCCACAGAAGCTGTCCTTCCCTGCCCCTGGTTTCTGGGGGTTGGCAAACAGCAAGGCCAGTGGTTTGCACTGAGAATGCAAGCTCTAGCAAGAGGCACTTGCCCAGGGGTGGTAATTGTCTCATCTGTGCCAGTTAACAGCCACGTGGAAGGTAAGTCAACACCCGGACCTAGTGTGAAGGAGAAAAATCAGATCCCACAAGGAGGTTTACGATACGGCTCTCACCTCTGCTGCTTCCCTCCCCTAAAAACCCACGTTAAGCTGAATATCACCGTGTGGCACTACAGCTCCCTGCTGCTTTTTTGACCGGTGTAACCGGCGTGTGGCAGAAGATGACAGCCGAGCCACTGAGCTTGTTTCACTGATCTTATATCTTTATATCCCCGGTTCAGACCCCAGAGACAAGGAAAGGACAATACGGACGTGGTAATGGCACTGCTTCACAAGCACGGCAGCACAGCTGCTTCCAAGTTACCTTTCTTCAGAGCAAGAAAAGAGCATGGTGGTGGTCAGTAACATAGCTGATAGAATGGCTTAAAATAGCATATTTAAATGTTGCTCTAATGGGCCACTCGCACAATTTACAGCTGAAATCACCCGTTTCGGCTCCTAAGCTGTCACTATCCCTCTTTGCCTTCCACACCAGAAAACCAGTCACCGAACAGCAAGTGACTCGAGACCAAGGTCAATGGGCACGCACACCAAAAACAGGGTCTGAAGAAGCGTCCAAAACTCGTGATGGCCCTTTGGCCTGAGTTTTCATATTGGCCAAATGCTGGGCTAAAATAAGAACAGTCATACCAAAGGATCTGGCGACGGGCTTTTAGTCACAAAGAAAAGTTCATATAAGAAAGAGATAGGAAAATACTTAATTTGTCTTAGTGACAAGTCAGGGATTAGTGAGAGCGATCATCTCCTGAGAAATACAGCAGAGCTGACCCTGTATATTTCACAACAGTTTGAAGGTATCCCTTAAAGAATATCCGTAAGGGTGATACACTTTCACATCATTTCACGCTTTTGGGTTTCACATCATTTACTAATTTATCCTGAATCCATCACCTTATTTATACATGAAAGCTTCAGATTCCTTTGGTAAACAATCTAGTGGCAAATAACCAGCCCTAAAAATATCAGCCCCTAAAGATTTCACCATGGGCTGAAACTTGGATGTCTCCCTGTAGAAATATACAGTGGCTTCAGCAAAAGTAAAAGCACGCCCAGTATGTAAATATTGATAATCACGTTTATCATGCATTACAACAAAAAGCAGCTTTAACATGGAAACTATTTTCCACCAAGTACCAAACACACAGAAATCAGGCCTTGTTGCAAATGAAAACAAAATGAAGTCTATGCTAAGTTTGTAGCTCCACATTATTCTCCCTCAGAGGTTTAGGATTTGGGGGCTACCAGGCACTAGGAAAAAAACAGTCTCTTTATTTTCTTTGCTCATTGAACAACTGTAGGTAGCCAGAAACATAACATGAAAGGTTTATTTGAAGGCAACAGGCTGGATACAATCTTTGCAGGTGGGGAAGCACCTTGGCTCTGGCATTTTGGAGGGACTGGGAGCCATGACAATAGATGCATCTCTTCTTGTGGGCTACAACATAAAAACATCCTTACCAAATTATTTCAATGCAACGTTCATTATCATATCATTTCATTCCAAATCACCATGTCAACTACTGGATGACCCGGATATCTTACACTGACCATATACTGGCCAGCAGTTCTCCACCACCAGGACTCCACAGTGTCTTAGACTAAAATCACAGAATCACAGAATGATATGGGGTTGGAAGGGACCTCTGGAGATCATCTAGTCCAACCCCCTGCCAAAGCAGGTTGCACAGGAACTTGTCCAGGCGGGTTTCAAACGTCTCCAGAGATGGAGACTTCACCAAACTCTCTGGGCAGCCTGTTCCAGGGCTCTGCCACCCTCAAAGTGAAGAAGTTCCTCCTCATGTTTAGATGGAACTTCTTATGTACAAGTTTGTGCCCATTCTGTCTTGTCCTATCAAATCCCAGCACTTCCCCTTCCCTCTGTAAAAAAGGTCTAAAGTAAAATATTCTCCTGTAAAGTGTCTTCCCTCTCCTTCTAAGAAGTAGTATATAGCTTGTGCATGTGATTTACAGTATGCATCATGAAGGTATTAGCAGCAGCTTAAAGATTTATGTCTAGGAGCAGAAGACTCTTGATGCATAAAATAAAAATAAAAGGAAAATATTAAAACAAAACAAAAATACTAAAATGAAATAAAACCCTTGCCAGCTTCATAGGCCTTTAGCTTTATTCACACAAAATACTTGGCCAATGGACCTGCATTTCACAGCAGGTTCCTACCCCAAAGCAGAAGAGAGTGAAGCAGGACACGCTATTTTTTCTATGCCTTTGGAGAAACTCTAGTTACAGAGGAAGAAAAGGTCAAACTTTGGTGGGCTGACTTTTTAAATGAATCTTGATGTGAGGAGAGGCTTGGGGGGAGAGGCCGTGCATGCAAACACGCAGACACAGGTGGACCCCAGTGGTCTAACCCAACCCATCCTGAAATTTTTGGCAGAGCTGCTCGGACATGCCATGACAGAGCCAACAGACAAACAAGAGAGCATGGAGGCTGTCGGCAGGGCTTTCATCTGCGGGGAGAAGCTGCTCCGCTTCATCCCACCAGCAGCAATTCATTTTTCAAAAGAAATGAGACGGAGGTGCTGTTGTTATAGCAACAGCCGAGCCTCTCGCCGGCCCATCCTCCACCGTCGCGCTGCCTTCGGTGGGTGGCTGGTCCAGTCACCCGTGGGGAGCGACCAGGGATGTGGCAGAGGCCGAGTACCCTCACTGCTCTCAACAACAAAAAAAAAAAAAAAAAAAAAAAAGAGAGGAGGGTGGAAAAAAATGCCAAGAGATCAAATTATCTTTCTGCCTGTAGAGGCTGAGCATGATTTGCAGTGTCTGACACAGGTCGGCCTCCACTCGGTGGCTGGGTGATCTGTGAGCCCACAGACAAGGAGGCTGGGGTCACTTTTACAGATGCTTTCATGCACCAGCCACATGTTGCCCTTGACTTTTCTCTTGTTAAGGCAGCTCTAGCCAGTTCAACACAAGGCAAGGGTGACAACTGACGAGGTCCGGTGCACTCGTTCCCCAGCTGTGATGGGACATGACTTGCTCCATAGCTATCTTTGCTCTCTGTGGAAAAACAGAGAAACCAGCCAAAGCCCAAAGTCCATCTTCCTTAGAGAAGATGCACATTTACGTAAAGCAAGGGTTATCATATTCTCCACAGTGCTCTTCTATGACTCCCTCTGTTAAAAGTAAAAATTGATCTTTTCCATTCCTCATGTCAGAATCACGGTCTGCCCCACCA